GTTGAGATAGAGGGAGGTGAGGCCGGTCAGGCGGCCGAGTTCCGGGGGGATGGGGCCGGAGAGGCGGTTGAAGGAGAGGGAGAGGTCGGTGAGGCCGGTGAGGAGGCCGAGCTCTGCGGGGATGGGCCCGGAGAGGCCGTTGCCATTGCGAGAAAGGAGGAGGAAGGTGAGGCGGGTCAGGCGGCCGAGCTCGGGGGGGATCGGTCCGGAGAGCTCGTTAGAAAAGAGGAGCATGTATGTGAGGGCGGTCATGTTGCCGAGCTCGGGGGGGATGGGGCCGGAGAGGCCGTTGCCGGAGAGGTCAAGGCTGGAGAGGTTGGACAGACTGCCGACCTCGGCGGGGATGGGACCGAAGAGGCCGTTGGAGGAGAGGCGGAGCCACTTGAGGGCACTCAGGCTGCCGATCTCTGGAGGAATTCGGCCGGAGATGTTGTTGGAGCCGAGGGAGAGCAGGGTGAGGCCGGTTAGACGGCCGAGCTCCGGGGGAATGGGGCCGGAGAGGCCGTTGTCAAAAAGTTGTAGGGACCTGAGTGTGGTCAAGCGGCCGAGCTCGGGGGGGATGAGGCCGGTGAGGCCGTTGTCGTAAAGCTCTAGGTACTCGAGTCTGGTCAGGCTGCCGAGTTCGGTGGGGATGGGGCCAAAGAGGTCGTTGGAGGAAAGGTCGAGGGACCTGAGTTTGGGTAGGCGGCCAAGCCCGGCTGGGATGAAGCCGGAGAGGTTGTTGGATGATAGGTGGAGAACCGCGAGGTTGGTCAGGCGGCTGAGCTCGGGGGGGATGGGGTCGGACAGCTCGTTGTAGGAGAGGGAGAGCGAGGTGAGGAAGGTCAAGTTGCCGAGCTCGGGGGGGGATGGGGCCAGAGAGGTCGTTGGAGGAGAGGTCGAGGCTGGTCAGGCGGGTCAGGCGGCCAAGTTCGGGAGGAATGGGGCCAGATAGGTTAGTGTAGGAGAGGTCGAGGGAGGTGAGGTTGGTCAGGTTGCCAATCTCTGGGGGGATCCGACCTGATAACTTGACGCTGATCATGATGCTTGTCTGGTTCCACAGCGGGCCCCGGACGTGGTCGTCGATCTCCTCTATGGTTGCGGACCATATTCCTCTCAAGAGCCCCAACGCATAGAGGATCCCTAATATTGGGATTGTGTAGCGCAGGGTTCCAGCCGGTATGGGGGCCATGGTAATACCTAAAAGTGCAAGAAGCAAAGAGAGATAAGCCCCAGCTCAAGCAACCGGCTCCTTCTACCATGCAGCTCCATGGGTCACAGATTCCACCCCAAGTCTGCACTACACCGCCTTGAACATGACGACCACAAAGAACCTTGCGTAAGCTCGTCAAGAGCCTGCTGCCACATGCCGCTCCAAATTTTGAGGTAAAACCCTAAAACCTTAAAAAGTGGTCATCATCATGTGAAATTGCAACGCTACAAACCACCTTCAAGGAATCAACAGGTATTCCAAGGAATGAGCACATAATCTTGAAAATGAGGTACAATATACCGCCGGGCCTAGACAGAAAACTTCACATATGGGCTCACGTGTGGATACAGATCAATGATGCCGACGCGTCTCCTTGTACTTGGCTCCTCGAGGCAGCAGAGAGCAGCGCTTCCCAGAGATGTTCACCGTCCAGTTTTCAAGGCCATTCGCCCACTGAGCTGTTCCAGCAGGGCTGTGAACGTGATGGGATTTTTATTCAAAGAGGAAGATCCTTCTTCGCTGTGAGAGGAAGATTTGAGGAGGGGAATTTCGCTGGAATAAGGGGGATCGTCCGCCCTGGCTAGGCTAAGAACATGACCCTATGTGCACACACGCAACATTTTTGCTTCGGTGGTTTGTTTATTGTTTCCTTTCGATTCTGTGTCATCGAAAATGTCCGTACATCATGACGTTGTCAAGAGAGAGGTAGGTGTCGACATTGATCCGGCGTCAACGACTTCGGAAGCCAACGCACAGGGCGGACCCTGTGGAGCTCTGTACGAAGCAATACGGACAAACTGCCGGAGACAAGATTCGAAGGAGCCTGACACTGCAAAAACAGACAAACAAGCTTGAGCGAGCTTGGTATTATTGGTCAAGGCAGTCAGGACTGACCCGCTCAGAGCTCTCTTTCGCTAGATCCAATGTAGGTTATCGCATTTGTAAAATGAGTTCTCATCTGATTCGTGGCATTATTTGTCCGCGAGCTTGCGCGCGCGATATAATATTTGACATGCGCGGGACCCATGGTTGAAAATTGGCCACTTGGCACGATTGTTCGCGATCGCGCACTCCACTACAAGGGTGTAATCGCGACCGCGCGACTTAACAGCCGATCTCGCACACGTGCACCGTCGGCGGCGCGGATCAAGAAGCTATACTTGACACATACCACAGTGTATGCGCAAACGTACGCACGTAGCATGCCTCTGCGAATTAATGGTGTCAATCCGAATCTGATGCCTCTACGTCGAAAATGAACCACTTAAGGAGAATGGCAACAAGAAGTCAGAATCTCCTGCTCACGATCATCGAGATACTATGACATCCACTAGTATAGTGGCAGACGGCCGGAGTGTTTGAAGGTCCGAAAAGGGCGAGGTTGAGCAAGTGTCCTTTGTACCATGTTAGCGCTAATCACGGGCTATCGTAGTGTCGCAACCAATCTACCTCGAGTCCCCTGCTGATTTTCACAACGATCTTCAACTGGCCACCTTCTGACTCAACCCCTCCACTTCTGCATCCGCGCTCGGCTCGGTGGTCAGCGTCACGACACTCGGCTGCCCCGCACTCCCGAACCGGTCGAGAAACACCCTGACCAGCGACCTGCCCTCGTACACCGCCTCCCAGAGCATGGTGCAGTAATGCACGGACAGACTGCACAGCGACACCACGATGGACTGCACGAAGATGCGCTGGTCGATGTAGATGCGGGTCGCCCTCGAGCTCCCAATGACGTAGAGTCCCGTCTGGAACACCGCCTGGGGCAGGGACTCCAGGAGCAGCTCGACCATCACCCGGGACTCGTGGTAGCGCTCGAAGACGAGGATCCGGTCCCCGGTCGCCAGATGAAGCCCGAACTTCTCCGCCACGGAGAGCAGGTCCTGGACGAGCACGCCCAAGAGACCCATGGGTAGCAGCAGGATCGCCACGACCACGGCGCGCACGGACCACCAGTCCGTGGTCCTCGGCGGCTCGTTGGCAAGAGCCGGCAGCGGCCACAACCATCTCACACGCAACTCTTTCCACCCGCCCACTGGATTCCCGGTCGACGACCAGGCCTTAGCAACGGCGAAAGACGCCCACACGAACGGCGCGCAGACGGACGCCAACACCACCCACATCGGCCACGCCCCCCAGACCTCGCTCAGCACCAGGAAGTCGGTGACGACGTCAACGACGGGTAGGACGCCCAATGCAGCTCCCCACATGTAGAGTCCAACACGCCTGAAACTGCGGATGCAAGCGCAAGAATTCAAAATCCCTTTCAGACAACGAATATCGTCACGGCGGCGTGACGAGATCACCAAAAATGTGAAGTGCTGATACTCAAGAGGAGAGACGTGTTCGAAATCGAGCGCCCATCCCAACGACTTACCCGAGTCGCCCCCCAACTGCAGACTCTAGCCCTCCACCTCGGACTCGACGGCGCCAGCGGGCCACCACGACGATGGTGATGGTCGCCACCACCGAGAGGACGGCGAATGCCCCGAAGACGAGCGCCGTGACCGCCTTCGCCTCGGGGTTGCCGCAGAGGTTACCCGCCTGGACCCTCGAGAATCCGACCCCCGTGTACGCCCTCCCGTCGCGCCCCAGGTCGATCAGATCCACGAAGTCCGGGTCCGCTAAAGCGTAATTCCCTTGCGCGTTGCTGAGAACGCCCAAGAAGTCCCCAGATGTATCGTACAGCGGGACGGGAATATCACCCGAGAGGAAGACCGATATCCGACCCAGGCACACCTTTCTGCGAGTGCTGCGAGACAGTCTCGCCCCCGTGCCCGCCACGCTCACGACGCAGCCCTCGTCGCAAGCTCTCCAGAACCGGATGCTCTCGAGATCGGGGTGCGGGCCCGTCAGGTTGACGATCTTGCAGGAGTCTGGCACCGACGAGAGATCCAGGTGTCTCGTGGAAATGTTGCTCCTCACGGATAGCGCAACGTAGGTCAGATTGTTGTGCGCGAAAGAAGGGGGTGGCGAGCAAGGAAGGCCTAGGTTCGTAATATTTATCATACGGGACAAGTCAAGCGTTTTGCAAGACGTATCCGTGCCAGTGAGGTTGAGTGTTTCGATGCGCAGCAGACGACCGAACTCAGGCGGGATGGGGCCGGATAAATCGTTATTGGAGAGGTCGAGGGTGGTGAGTCTGGTAAGGTTGACGAGCTCGGGGGGGATGGGGCCGGAGAGGCCGTTGAAGGAGAGGTCCAGGGCACCGAGCCTGCCCATGCGGCTGAGCTCGGGGGGGATGGGGCCGGAGAGGCTGTTGTTGTGGAGGTACAGGCCCACGAGGCCGCTTAGGCGAGCGAGCTCAGGGGGAATAGGGCCGGAGAGGTTGTTGTTGTAGAGGTCGAGAAGTAGTAATTTGGCACTCGACAGTCTGCCGAGCTCGAGGGGAATGAGGCCGGAGAGGTCGTTGGAGGAGAGGTCGAGGGACCAGAGATTGGTCAAACTGCCGAGCTCGGGGATGATGGGACCGGAAAGGTCGTTCGAGGAGATGTGGAGCATGGTGAGGCCGGTCAGAC